AAGGAGAAAATAAATACACTTTTAGTGAACCCTTAACCAGTGGTAGGGGGTGCTCAGTGAAGTTGAGACCCAATGGTGTCGATGTGCAATTTGGGTCATCGCATTATGTCACAGCACCTAGTCAAGTGAGTCATCTTCTGTGGGAGTCCTCTGAAAGGGAGTCCTCTAGGTCAGCAATTAATCCATAGAGGCAAACCCCTCCCAGCACCCCCTGTCCCACCCTGACGTTCCAGTGGTGTGAGCTGCAGACCTGCAGATAATGGGACCGCTAACAAACTCTGAGAGTTTTTACAAAGTTTACTGGATGCTCTTTGACCTGATATCACCGGGGGGGGGGGGGGAACAAGCCAGGAAGTGTCAGTTATGAGCCCCGGAAAGTTTTCCTAAAGTTGTGCGAAGGACTGCAAAATTTCTGGAGTAACAATCAAACATCTCTCTCTGTTCTGTTTGAGGTTTCATTCCCCTTAACGCTGTGTTCAGTTCTTCTTCCTCCTCTGGATCTCTACATCAAACCTGTACATCCCACTGCGGAACCCACGCAACCTGTATAACTCAAGGGCTCCACCGTACAAAGCCAGGTCTCCCGTACACCTCCTCGTACCAGGCGTTTCTCTGCACGGCCCGGCCTGGAATGGCAAGAAACCCGGGAGATTTCTGAACAGGGCACAGAGCGGAGAAGTCACGCGACTGCGTCATGCAAACGGTCCAAGTGATGCTCGCCATCCTCAGTGTTTCCACATGGAAAAACCATGGAACGAACAAAGTACTCTTCGCCTTACTTCAACATCCCTCGCTTGCGGAACGGAGATGGGAGCTGACGGTTGGTTCACATTAACGTGCAACGAGGCGGATAGCGCAAAGGGAACGACACGGTTAAGCTCTTCTCCTGCACGCTCACTCGCACGAACGACAAGTAACAGATATAAATGCTACCTACCCACAAATACATCATCATCTTGAGCGAGGGGCTGAGTGCTTCAGACGCGGACCAGAGTCTCCTGACTTCACCCAGGTCTTCCACTCAGACACTGGAATAACTCACAGACTCCTCTTTCGCTCTGCGCCGCTCACAGTTCTCCTCTTTTCGCGAGGGTAAAAAAATAATTATTAAGCTGACACTTCCGCGGCGTCGTGGGAAAAATGCTCCAGGCTGCCGCTCCTTCCCTCTGTTCCTCCCTTCTCCCACTCTCCCTTCCTCCCCTCGTGCTGACAATCCTTTGCTTAGGTAACAATTCTTGACGTGTGTGTTTAACGAGCAGATCCGCGTGCCAAGGCAGTCAACGAGAACTGCGCAGGAGAAAAGTCAGGGAGGGGGGAGTGGACGAGGGATGGAGGGCTGTGTGTGGGGGGGGGGGGGGCGTCGGATGGCGTGGGCGGTGGAAGGGAGGGGCACAGGCACACACAGATATGCTTTTATGAACATGCGTATGGTCACGGCACGTGTCGGCAGGGGCGGTGGCGGAGGGCAATTCTTTGGGGACGAGGAGGCGGGATTCTCGTCCGGAGACAGCATAGAGTTTCATTAGAAAGGAAAACGAAAAGGAAGAGATGGCAACCCAAATAAGACACTGATCAGGTGTCGAATGAACAGACAACATCTTCTGGGTGGAAGCAGCGATGGGAAGGGAGAAGTTGCACCACCGGAACCCATTAGGGTTAGTAAGTGGTACAGAAGAAGGGATGGAGCAGCATGTAGAAGTAACCCCTGGGTGACAGCAGCAAGCTCCAGGTCAGGACCCCACCGTGAGGTTATCTGATGCACCACCGCTCTAAAACCCCCTACTGATTTTGCAGCATTGCTGCAGCCCCCATGCCCTCCTGACTCACAGGCCTCAGAAAACCCCTCCCTCCCTACAAAGGCAAAAAAAAATCTCTCTCTTCATTCATTCACTCTGACTTGTCCATTTGTTTTTCCCAAAGTAAAGGTGGCACTGGCAGGGCAATGCCAACCACATGGAAACAGAATGCTCTTTGTTTTGGGGCATCAGGATGCGACAAGGTCAGCGCAGAGGCGTCGATGACCCGGCAGCATGGAGTAGCATCGCCTACAAAGAGCATCCGCAAGTGAACGTCTGAACAAGAGGGCGTGCGAGAGGTAACAGCCAGAAAGACAGATCAACGGGCAAAGTGTTTAGTTTATAAACAAGGAGCCTCCTCGTCCGTCCATATTCACCGCACGTATTGGGGTCGGACATTAATATTTTGTGCGTGCCTTATAACACCACCTTCTCTGTTTATTAGGGAATCAAATCCCAGTGCAATGTAGCAGCGGTTTGGAGCAAATTACAGCCTGGAGGCCTCCCTAATTAAAGCACGTTTCTGGAGCGGCGTCGAGACAGACAGACACGCGCCCAAAGCCGCAGTGCCGGGAGCCAGGGGGGAGGGGTGTAGCAGAGCTGCCTGCGGCGGTACGGACCCCACACTAACCCCCACCCTATCACTCACTCAACCCAAACACACACCTCCATACTAACCCCAACCCTAACACTCACTGAACCCTAACCTCAACACTAACCCCAACATACAACATAAAACACAGATACAAAAGCAAAAAAAGAAAGAAAAAAATCAGGCGTGTAACAAAAAACTAAAAACATTCACAGTGGTTAAGATTGCAACATAGTCTTTAAAATCAAAAAGTGTAATAAATGACTGATGTTTTAACTGATGTTGAAGTAAGTTCCAGGATTAAGGTGCATCATAGCAAAATACTACCTCTCCAAATTCAGATTTTATAATGGATACATTATATACATCGTGGGCAGTGGTGTTTTAATGGTTAGGGAAGTGCATTTGTAATTGAAACAATTGAATTCCTGACCAGCAAGGCACCAGTGAAGTACCCTGAGCAAGGTACCGCCCCCAAGCACTGCTCCCCAGGCGCTGAATTAGCTGCCCCCTGCTATGTCACGATGTCACATATGGGTTAAATGCAGAGGACTCATTTCGTTGTTGTTGACTGTGTGCTGTGGTGTGTCAACAATGACCACTGATCACCAAATTCTAATTATAAATTCTTAAGAAGAAAGAGAGTATTAGACTATTTTTTTACCTGTTATTGGTTAACTATGAGAAAACATATATGATGGTAACAAACCAATAACTCCTTTGGATATAAAAATATACTAGTGAAGCTGCTTACACACTGATAGTGGAGATCAGCCCGAGAGACTATAAATCACAATCAACTTTTTAAAAATCATATCAGTCATGTCATTCGGCATTTATAAAATCTGCCGTTACAATACAATGACACAAAAAAATCACATTCATGAATGAATATCAAAGCCAGTTCAGGCCTGAGCCTGAGTGCAGAACATTTCCACAACATTACACCCTTTCTGCTAGCATGTGAACAGCGGAGGAACGCTTAGCACACAGAGAGACCAGGTTAAAATGGATCCTCTTCCGTTTAGTGAAAATGAGCTGGATCTGTCTGGGATTTTCATGTGATTAATTCGGCTAAAGTGCACATGGGGATTAGTCATCCAGTACTCAGCTTAAGTAAGAAAGCCTCAAATATCAGTCACTGCCGATGAAGAAGTCCATTTAATCTAAACAGCCCCTTTCAACTTGTAGACCAAAGAACTTCACCTATACAGTAGGGCACCTTCAAGCATTATTATTATTATGGAGAGGAAGAGCCCCCAGCAAGATCCCCCCTCCCCCAATTAAGATGACCCCAGACCTCCCCCCCATTAACATCGTGTCCCCAGCTCCCCTTCCCCAAATAACATCAAGTTCCCAGCTGCCCCTCCCACATTAAGATGGGGTCCCCAGATCACCTCCATTAAGATGGGTTCCCTAGTCCTTTTCCCCATTAAGAAATGCCCCCCCAGGCCCCGCATTATGAAATCCCAGACCCCCAGTAAACCCAGCCCTCCAAAGTGGGTCCCAGTCACACTGTGTCCCATTCACGCTCCGACCAGAGATGCTCCGGCAGGTGTAAAACCTTGCGGCACACAGGGGGCCGCCGTGCCGCAAAGGCAGGACGACGAGTGCTTGGCTGGCTGCCCCAGCGCACCAGCCCCAGGGCGTGCCACGCGCAGGCCTGACTGAGCGGCCTATTAATGAGGACGGCTCCCGCAATGCCCCTAACGGCTTTCCAATTAAGCGCGGGGGCCGCCTGAGCGTGCGTCCCCATGTGCGGATGCAGGCGCGAGCTGTAAATTAAACCCAAAACAAAACAGCTTTACATCCCATCGGGGAAATTATTTCAGGGAAAGAAAACATTTCTTCCGGTCCGGTTAGTCCGGATGCTCATTAAACCGACAGTTATTGATACGGAGGACATATTGGAGTTTCGGGGAGCTTCTGGCTATGTAGCGGCAGCTCCTGTACATCGTTAACGGATAAGAAAATCAAACCGTTCGCCTAAATATTACACCTCTGAAGAGAAGCCTGAAGTTAAGGAGATGTGACTTTGCCATGTCTGCTTTAGAGAAGTACACGCGAGCGGGTCTGTCAGGGCCGTCCTGCGTCAGCCTGCGAAACACTACACTTCCTGTTCTACTGGGCCCACGACTCGCTTGCATGCGTTCCGGGCTGAAATGAGACATTTATAAAAATGGGAGTTAGGCACGCTGCAGGCACCAATAGTGCTCTCAGGTACGGGTCACCTGATTGGAAGAAACATCCGGTGAGCCTTCAGGTGAGCACGGCCCGAGCTAAACGGAGGGCTAAAAATACACTCGCGTGTGCCACTTTTCCGTTTTGCTAAGCCAATACTGCCAGAGGATCGTGAGGGGATGTCAGAGACGAGAGACCTGCAAACTCAACAGCTGAGATATGGTCATTTATGGCCACCATGTGACCACTGTCTTTCTGGGACCCCCCCCCACCCCTCTCTCCTGGAGCCACTATGGCCAACGTTACCATCCCTGTCCAGCCAGCAAGACCTGGTACTTGAGAATGCTTGGGTGAATTTACCCTGACCCCAAAGTCTGTCCCCACCCCCCCAACCCCGCTCCAGGTGCTCAAACAAAGGACAGGGGACTTACCCTTATCTGGTCTCTGTCACAGCTCATTTGCTTGCCTGGGATCTGTCAGAGGAAACAGAGCACAGCTGAGTGTGGACTGAGTGTGACGTCCTCGTAGGCGATGCTTCAGGAACAGAAAGTAAACAGCGAACACAAGAAGCCCATCCTTATAACTTTTGCTGCATCCTGAATGTCAGAGTAACTCAAAACAATGTTACTTGATTTGTGACAAAATACATTAATATTGAGTGCAAAATCCATCCATCCACACACCCCCCACCTTGTTGAGACCAGGATAACTACATTACAGCTAAGCATCAAATCTCACACTGTCACAGCATGAGTGTACAGTACAAGCCAACATGTAGACAGCATCTTAATGTCTATTTACCTGACTAAGTACTTGTTATTTAATTACATGGTTATTAATGCAAGGTGCTGTTTTGCATTATTAACACACTGATTATGTCATGTTGTGACACACAAGACCGGAAGCTTATTGACAAATCAGCTATGTCCGTTAATTAAAAACGACCAGGTGTATTTAATTAACAACTGAACACAAGCGTAAAATCAGAACGTGGTGCATCAGAATACCCTGGGTGTACAAAGCTAATAACAATAACAATAATGGTAATGATAAGACGGAGGGAGCTGGCAGTAAGGTGTAGGCAGCAGAGCATTGGAGACACAGCTGCTGGATCAAAGACCTGCAGCAAGCTTGTCCTCCTTTTGATGCGTTAAACCTTCACACACACACGATTCTTCTTAATGGGAAAGAAATTCGTTAATGAACAGATAAGCGACCCAGCTACCTGAACCAATTTATGGCTCAATTAATTTCAATTTGATTACTCAAACGTCTTCTGGGTTAACAAGTAATTAATCAGATGTCTTGGTGTCATTCAGCAAGTAATGCATCGATAGTGACAGAGAGCTACTACAACTGCACAAGCAATTATTGTTTTTTTTATGAATTATAATATTATGTACAATACACGTTCAGTTGAATCAAGATGCCGTGAGCAAGGCCGCTTTCCCTGAGCAGCCTGGGGAAGGCTCAGATCTGCTAAGAATGCCAATCGATAACGCAGATGGGCATTGTATCCCTGGCACCATAACCATAGGCGCGTCGGCGGGAGGGGATTGAGTTACGCTTGGGGAGAAGCCTGACACTCGGCCATTCCCGCCTGGGTGCTGCCCCCCCCCCCAGACTGCCATCGATACCGCCCATCAGTAATGCACTAGGAAGCTGTTCATTTAAGAGATAGGATCTCAACTTAAGACGCTGCTTTCAACTCTAATATCATTAACGGTTTCACTTGAATTTCCAGACTGGACCATTAGGATTTGCCCAGAGTGAAACAGAATAACATTTTCAGTGTTCAGGAAGCAGACAGGAATCCTTAACAGAACCAGCAGAGGATTACCTGACCCGCAGTCACAGGACGAAGGGACGGGACAAACATGCACAAAAAAATAAATAAATAAAAATGAATGACAAACTGATGCATTAACCATTCTTTTTTAAACTAGTGACCACACACAGCATTCTACTGTGTACAAAAAGCAAACCACCTTTGTCAAAATTACTGCATGTGCGGGACACTAAATAAATACACATAGCAGTGTTGTACACCCCTCACGGAAACGCAAATCTGCCCGCAGTCAGGGCAGAGACCATGTTCTAGTGAAAGACTCAGGACAGTCCAGGTGGGAGGCCGGTCTCATTGCATGCTGCACAGTTTTATTTACTGTCCTGACATACCTACACGGAGCAATGCCTACTCCGGCACCACCTGCTTGCAAGACTCCCGCGCCACCTCACCACCTTTAAAATGGGGGAGGGCAGAAAAGCAACAAGGCAGACTGTCCACAGTGGATGGCAGTACAGGAGGGACCCGGCCATGCTCGTGTATGGGGGGGGAAGGGGCTCATTGAAGAGGTGGGCGGCAACCGGGGGACCGGAGGAAGCTGTTAAAAAGAGAGAGAGGTGGGTAATGAGCGAGGTGCTGACTGGCCAAAAGGGGAGAGATGAAGAGAGTGTGGAGGAAGAGTGTAGAGTGGGGGAGGTGAGCACCAGGGGCCGGGAGGGTTTCAAACTGCGTTTCATTGGTGACAGGGAGCCAAGCCGTTAATCTCCTACCTCATTCAGCCAGAAAACCCATTCATTAACTGCTGGCAATTAGCCGAAATACATACATGGATATTGTGCTTTCATGATTATAAAGGGAGGGGGGAGGGTCACGTTATTACGCATCCTGGTCTGTTCAACCTTTTGGGTACATTTAGTGTAAATTTCACCGCATTTGGGACCCAACCAGGCGTTACACGCCATAAAGGTAAAATTAAAAAGACGAACACAGTTGCAAAGCCTCTGTTAACGAAGCTGCCGCATTCGATGACATAACATTTTTACATGAAAGACAAGGTAAACCACGTAACATGACCGAAGATATGAGAGCGCGCGGCTCGGATCAGCAAATAAAGCGCGCCTTTCCGGACACGGCGGACTCCCGAAACTGCAGGGCACGGAGGCGGGAGGAGCTGCGTACGGAGCGGCCGCGGCGCCACGGAAAGCCCCTTAAAACATCATGTCAGCATTTAATTTAAGATCTCCAGCGTCTCCGCCACCCGGAGCCCCGGTCAAAAAGGTAGGCCGGCTATTAGAAACAGCCCATTAAATACTGCGTGGCTTTTCGGCGAGAACGAGAAAAGCGGCTGTAACGTAGAATGACAGTCGATATAATGTCTGTTAATTAAAGACAAACGCCGAGCGCGCTTAGAACTGCAGAAGGGGAGAAAATGGAGAGAATGACGCTGGGAGTCTGTGTGGTTCCTGTGTAAAAGTGCAGCAGGAACCTTACGTGTCTGTAACACCTGCCAGGTGATAAGATAATGCCGTGATTTTCTGTGTATCTTATCACTCCGTTAGCGGGATGGGTGTAAAAACATAAAGAAAAAGGAAACAGCAGAGGCAGGTTACCGGCAGCCGCTCCAAGACGACGGCAAGGTATGGAAAGTCTCCAGCAAGAAGGCGGGAAGAGCGCACGCCATAGTTAAGATGCTGCGTTCCCGCCGAGTCGAGCTAGAAGCGTTCCGCGAGCCATGACGTCAAATGTAAACACCTAACATGACTGACCGCCACAATATACTATATTGTTAAATTGTTATTGTATAATATAATAATATTAATAATAACTGTGAAAAGTTGATTAAAAATCACACATTCAGATGTTTTCACAGTTGGTAGCCAATGAAACATTTGCGCAAATAAGTTTATTCTGTAAGAAATAGGCTAAAATTAGCTGTAGACTGCTACAGATATCCATATACCCAAATAGCTGGCAATATTTTGGTTCATTTTTTGACATCAGTCTACACATGCAATTGGTTTTGTTTTATTTGTTTTGTTTTTATTTCAGTGTAAGGCAGGGAAAATTCCTTTATATGGCCTGAGCTTGATTATTTATCATACAAAGCCATGTTGTTTATGCAACATATATTAGCCTCTTGATTTTCAGTCAGAGGTCACTAGTTTCTGAGAATTAGTTTATTCCATCCTTCCATCCTCCAGCTGTTTCTCCTGGACCAGGACCAGGGTTTAGTTAGTTAATACTTTGAATAATAATAATAGCTTACAGTTTTACTTGTGTATACAGCTATTTACCAGATGAAAAGCAGGTTAAGTACCTCAGAGAACTTCACTGCTGCAGAAGGAATTTATCCACAGATCTTCACCCCCAAGACTGTGCTACCTGAATACTAAACAGTCTTGAGCTGGTCAGATCACAGTGAAGACCATTTGGATCAGAACCCAGCAGCCCCCATCAAACCATAATTCTGACAAAAACAACGGATGATAAAGGAAATCCAGGCAAAATCTATCAAACACTTCATCTATTCATCAAATGCTGGGTATCTGAAATAACCATTCTTTTCAAAAAGAGACACACACTATCTTTTTATTTTTTAAGCACAGCAAATGGTAATACCTATAAAAATGAGCTCAAATCCATCATCAGCACATCAATTTTTAATAATACCACTTTGCACAATACCACATGCTTTTGAGTTCCCTCAGAATGTTTTGCGACTTAACCTTGATACTTAAAGTTGGAGATCTTTCTTTGCTGTTGGTGATTTTGATTTGCTGTCACTGAAATCGCAAAAGTTCCAGTACCCGACGACATGATGATTACAGCAGGCGATCTGTCAGCCACATTGTCTTTGTTTATGGTCATGATGCTGCACAGTGAACCTAAAAGGTGGCTCTTGTTCTGTTCTGATGGTACAGGGCGTGACTGAAAACTTTGTTTAGTGTTCTCTGAGCTCAGGGAGTTACTGCAACCTTTAGAAGTGATCGCAAACAATACCATCCCCCCCTTTAAGGCAAAAAACGGGAAAGAAACGTAACATGCCGAGATACACATACAGACTTCCCAGCCTCTGCTTTGCCGTTGGAGAAAAATGAAAAACCGCCAAAGAGAACCTCCCCATGAACCACTCTCTCTCGCTCCGCTGGAAACAAGATGGAGGCCCTTTCCCGCCCTGTCAGTGTTGCTGCGTGCTGGAATCACACCCATCGACCGGCTCTGAATGGGAAGCAGCAGGGGCCCCGGCTGGCCCGTCCCACACACCGTTCTCTGGCGAAGGGGCGCTAACGGAGACCGGTCGGCTGTCAGCAGCACACGCTCACCCATGCCGAGTGCATCACGGAACAAAACCGAAGGCAGCTTAGCTGAAAATAAACAGTGGAGCGAGCTTATCGAGGCAAACGCACAATAAAATAGACAGGAGCGAAGTAGCAAGCCTGTTCTAAAAGACGCCTCAGGGAGAGACCCCCCACCCCCCTGCCCCTGGCACGTTGACAGGAGCCCACGGCTGCTGGGGGTGAGTCCGAAGCGGCCGAAGCTCAGGCACCTCATTAGCATAGGCAGCTGCGGGTCACAGCGGAACAACTGAGGCGTGCGCTCCGTTTGGATGCCCTGCCCGCCGTTTACTGTCACTTGGCCCCAAGTTTGTGTTCGTATTTCTGGAGCCAACTGGCATGCTAACTGGAATAGCCTAGCGCCCATGACTGACACTGCCTTCCTGGGTCTTCCCCAAAACACAGGGGGAAAAAAAAAAAAAAAGGAAGGAAGAGAATATCGAATTAGCACAACCAAAAGCAGCGGGCATTCAAAAATAAACCGGGCTGCATGAAATATTCAGTTCCCATAGTAGCGGCATGAGGGTGCCGCTGAGGTTAACGTTTTAACTTTTTATATTTGTGTGACGTGCAGCACTTTTAGGCCGTCTCCGCACGTTTCATTTACAAGGTGGGAATGCTGAGCAGGGAAAATGAATCTGATCTCTCGTCAGATTATGCCGTGCGGTTCCCAATGCCGATGGTGGCTGCTGAGCCAGCTTTTGACATACAGCTGAATATGTTATCTTCCGTGTCGTGGTAGCTTCCTACTAGAATGGGATGTCACCCAAATTACCACCATGCTGATGCCCCCCTAGATCCATCCATCCACCCATCTATCTATCCCTCCACCTTTGGACACAGCCAGCGTTTGCCATACTCGTTGCGTTGAATTAAACAAACCAGCTTGAGAAACTCATTGGGCTCAGTTTTGCATTAAATACACACTTTAACCATGAAAGCATGTCAATCAGTGGCCATTTCTGTTAAGGTATACATTAAAAAGAATTATTTTAAAAGAAACCAGCAGTAAGGCCTGGTTTGAATGACTCAGTGGATCACGCTGCTGGAATATTGGTATTTTTTTAATAGGCATATTTTGGTTATTTCAGTCTCACACATGCACAGGGAGAATAGTAATGCTCCCCCACACCATTTACTTCTTGGAGTAACATTCTTCTTCTTGTTATGAGAATATCTGCTTTTGGAATATCGATCGTCCTGCTTAAAAGAAGAATGGTGAGGTCAATACGAGAGGATGGCTCAGAAGAGAGAAAAAAAAACTAGCCAAACGGAACGATATTAATCCATCGGTACTAATCAGCTGTGGTTCCTGGTCCGTGACCCTTTCATCTGCTTTGCTCTGAGAGAAACCATACTGATTGTCGGACGTCCTTCTGATGCTACATCCCCAGGCTGTATGCCGGAGACAGGGTCCAACTCAAAAATACAGTCTCCCAAATCAGCAACATGCAGCAGGGAGCCAGTGTTTCATAATGAACGCAATTCACTGCTTCCTGCACTGCATGCCGTGGTTACATCTTAATGGTCCGTTCTTGAATTGCATCTCCTGATGGTTGTCTAACTGATTCCCAGTTTTCTTCTGTTACGATGTCACATGATCCATACTCCAACTCGGCAGAGGCTCGTGGCCTATCCTGAGGCTCCAGGAGGTCCAACTTTGTTAGGAATCTCATCGTTTAACCAGCCCAATACCACCCCTCCCCAATCCCCCATCTGAACGAATGTACAGCAACTCCCCAGTTCAGAACTAACATCTGATCTTCAAAATCAAGAAGTGCATTCTAAAGTGCCGTTTAATATATAGTCTAATGAAGTAAATATTAATGTGGTCGAGTTTGATTAGGATGCCCTTCCAGTAAGCACCCCCCCTCCCCCCAACACGTAACAGCAGTGTGTATCTCATTATGACAGAGCTGGAATGCTGGAGTTCCCTCTCATTGCCTCATCACTCTCCCAGTTACTCTGCTATATAGCTGTGGCATCATTATGCCTAAACTATATTTTTCATCAGTGATTGATCCCTCCTCCCCCCAACAATTAATGCAAGTGGCCCACCACTGATCAATCCTCTGATGGGCTGGAGACACAGTCAATATATTTTTATGTCCAGAGTGGCCAATCAGACGTTTTACAGCTTGAACTACTGAGCTGCCCTCTACTAGACCTGTACCTTTCCTGTTTTTAAAGGGGTACTAGCCCTGTCAAGTGGCCGTGTGTGCGACGCTTATGAGTTACGGTACGCCCTGGAGGAATGCAGGGTGACCCGGAATTCCAGAAATAGAAATCGCCTTATATAATTTACGATCACAAACAAACACACCAGAAACAAAGCCAGTTTAAGAGGTTGCGCATGGCTTGGCCATCTTCACTGGAAAGTACATACAGCACAGAATGAGGCACGGGTCCAAGAAGATATGAAGGAGGCTGCCGCATCGGCTGTCCCCTGTACATGTTGTTACTTTTCAGTAACAACATGCCCAACGTCCAGTAACATGGCAGTGGACATAATGACTGATTTTACAGCTTCTAAAGAGAATAACTGGTGTTCCATCGGATGGAATTTGGCCCGATGACCCCCATGGGGTACAATCGCCGCTACTGTATGGTTGTGTCTGCGAGCAGAAGGTTGTGAGTTCAAATTCCATAGTTGGCAGGGTGATGTCATCATTAGGCCCTTGAGCAAGGCCCTTAACCCTCAATTGCTCTAGGCACTGACTGACCCTGGTTTCTCAAGTCCTTTGGATAAACAAATCGGCAAAAAATAAATGTAGAATGTAGATGGTCAACATGAACAGCTATGGGCAATAAGTGAGATGTGCAGCTTAAAAAAACGAGACGTGGAGCCTTTGATGTCATTCAGCCTGGGCTGGGGCTTCAAGGAATGAAGCCCTCAGAGATTCTCACCACTCCAGGAGGAAATTCCTGTTCTTTTCAGTTACAGGGGATTCATCTTAAGATGTACAAATACAGCCTGGCACAAACTCCAGAAATAACTGGAAACAAACTTGCTGCACCTAAAAATATTACTGTTGCCACCCGGTCCTTTGTTTATGGAGGTTAATTTTAGTTTTCGTTTTGGATAGCACCACCCCAAATTAGCCATCAAATAAAAAAATGTCTTTAATTACACTTAAGCTTGAACAACGACAGGTGCTGTTTTCTGATTTATACGGATAGTGAGGAGCCTCAGTCATTTACATCTAACACAAAGCTTTCATCGGCTACAATCGTGTGTTTTCCCAATTGCGATTCTGCGCCGGCCGATCCCTCCATTTCCAATTAGACACAATTACAGCAGAATGCGATTTGCCCAAACGAGGTTCTGGCAGGTGTAATAAAGTGGACAGAATTATCGGCAGAAATGAGCCCTGGATATCTGATTAGACGGAAAGTGCGGGGGCCACGCGGAGAGGGAGGGATGCGTGCAGGCAAACAGACAGTAGCCCGGCGCACCACTAATGCCGTTTTCATAGCTCTCATTTATTCATTATACCCGCATGAACCCTTTAAGTGCATCTCCCGCTTTTTAGCCAGAGTTATAAATCGCACGCCACAGAGTCGCCGCGGATCACGGCCGCTCGGTAAAACCCTACAAATATCTGCAAGGCGCCGGGTCTGCAGGCAAGTCCGAATGGAGACGCAGAGCGCATTCCTGAGGTTTATCGCACGCTTGTATGAAACACCTGGGGGTGGGGGGCTACCGCACGTCGGACAGGCTGAAAATGAAAAACAAAAACAAACAAGATATAAAAAAAAAAACTAGAATGGAGACTATTATTCTCAACTTGTGGTCTTACACCACTTTTCAGTGTCATGGAGAAATACCAATTCTACACATGTCAAGACCAACATGTTATTTACGGCTGCCGGAATATTCTATCCTGAAATGTAATCACGGCACTTCCCGCCAGTCCAGTCCGAGCTCGTGTGTTCAATCTAACCGCCCCACCGACCACACATCAAAACCACAAAAGCTGCCACAAACAAGAAAGGCTGAAAAAGAAGGCTATGTTCTTTGAATGATCTTATGTTGCACTTATTGACCTTTGAATAGTCTTATTGGGTTCTTAGTTTAATAGGTATATGTGTAGTTGTGTGGCTGTTGTGAGGCTCCTGCTCCCATACTGCTTAAAGTTACTTGGGCATTCATCGGTAGCTCAGCCTAGTCCTACTTATGTCTAGCTGATGCCATGAATATTTTGCAATGTGCCGTTTGCCTCACTTGTACATCGCTAGGGACGAAGCTTCTGCTAAACATGTAATTGTAATTAATGTAAATTGCAATGTAAATGGAGAGCCACTAAGCCACACCTATAACCAGAGATGGTCCTAATGACCCCTCCCCCTTGTGCGAGGTGCTGCTGTCAGATGCTCTGTGATACAAACACCCAGGAGCTGATTAACTGGACTTGGTTCTAACTTGTTCATATTGGGAGTGGAATTCATCATTGCGCTGGAGTGGAATCCCGTGCAGGGTGAGCCGCAGCCGTGCGCTGAGAACATAGGCCCCAGAAAGACAGATGATATTATGGCATCAAGTTTTTAATAGGAAAGAAAGAGTGTAATAAAAATTAAAATACGAAACAAATGATGTCAGCTGATGCAAATGGGAATACCGGAAGCCGGACTCACGGTCTGGGAGACGACATTCAGCGAGGTTCAACTACACCAGCGGCGGCTCCTAGGCCCGCAGATAAAACGGAATACCCGAACGTATGTGCGGTAAAAATAAGAAAATAATGAAATAAATGCCGATAAATAATGAATTAAAAATTTTTAAGAGAGGTGGAGGTGCGGTAG